GGATGCGGCGAGCAGCGTGCCTGTCAGCGGCTGCTCCAAACCCTCCAGGTGGCCGGGCTCTGAAAGAGGGTTTCCATCTGGGGTGAGGGTCCTGGCGCCAGCTTACAGCACGCCTTAGCCTCTGAGACGGCCCCGCACTGTGTTTCACCCGCCCACATCCCACGACCCGCGCGCCCTGAGACCGACTGCTGGCGTCGAGGGCCCCACGTTTGAGGTGCGTGCTGTGACCAAAACACTTGATTACCCCTATCTGGTGCGCTATCCCCTATCTAAGCACATGGGACCGGCGGGTGACAGGGGTGGCTGGGAGGAAGTGGAAAAAAATCCTCCAGGCGGCGAGGGGGCAGAGGCATCTGTAGGTTGAGTTGCGGTAGCCAAAGCATTTTCCTCTGCCCGAGGTGGACTCTCTGGATGCTAAGTTTGGCTGGTAGCATTCAAGTGGGCAGCCAAGACTTTCTCAGCAAGGCGCTAAGGCACCTTACCTAACATTGGTTGCAGCATGTGCCTGAGATCCCCCGTCGATCCAGCTCCCATTGCAGTCTCGATTCTTTGGTGATCTTTTTTTGCAACTCCTTGAGCTCGACTTGGCCAGTCCGCGATAAAAAGCAGCAGGCCAAGAGACCAAAGTGGGAGACAGACGGGGGACATCCCAGCTATTCTCACCACACATCCTTACCTTACCAAAGACGGAGTCCTGGCCCCGACTTCATCGCCTCCACGTCCGCATCAGCTCATCATCGCGGCCCTTCCCGCCCCATTTCCTCCTCTAGCATCTTCCTCAGCAATCCTCAGCAATCCTCATCCTTGGGTCAGCTTCCACCGTCGAATCCTCCTCGATTGCCGCCACCGGGCATTCGCCCTCTACATCTCCTCGACGACGATCCTCAATCGACCTCAATTCCGTCTCGACAGAACAGGCCTGAACCTGAACCACGCGCCGCCTGCTGGCCTTTCCTATCCAACAACCATGACCCTGTCGCACTCGTCGCTGCCACAGCCTTCATTGGCCTAAACAAGAACCTTTGATCGCGGGCTTTGCTCCGCTTGAGACCCGAGGGCCTTCGCTTGCGTTTGCGTTTGCGCCTGCGATCTGGTCGAGAACAAGAGACAAACGCAACGACAAGCCATAGAGGGGCTTCTGAAACGTCTCATCCACAACTGTCGACATACCCGTCATCGAAATTCCTAACGCCCTCGCCGTCGATCGATTACTCCACTGGTGCACCCTCGCACGTTGCCTGCCTCAACCGACTATTCATATAATCATTCTTCCGCCATGGAGCGACCAGAGCGACTCGCTGGCTCGTCTGGCGGCTCAGCATCACAACCACTAGTTCCTAGGAACTTGCCCGAGAACCATATATCTGGGAGACGCCCCGTACCGAATTCGGCTGCCACCTCGAACGGCCCGCCGCCGCCTCCTCCCCCCATTCCCAACCTGCGTGGTCCTCCCTCCAGCTCGTCCCTCTCCACCGGCGGCATGTCGTCTGCCCAGGTCATCAACCTCGCGCGCGAGGCCATGCGGAATGCCCTCGAGAGTGAGAACAAAGCTGCCGAGGCCAGCGCCGTTGGCACAGGGCTGAAGACCGGAGTCACCATTGATCTTAGCCGAAAAGGCATACAAAAACTGCCTGAGGAGGTAGTTGATATTGTCAAGGGTGAATTGGAACGGTCTGTGCCCTCGCTGGGATCCTCTCTAACCAGGCGCCCGGGCACTGATACTTACATGGTGTCCAGACTAGCATTGTCACACAATCAGCTCTCATCACTGCCAGCCCGATTTTCCGAATGCACCTCACTGCGATACCTCAACATCAGGGGCAACCAGATCAAGGAGTTCCCCATGCCTGTACATCTCTCGTCTTCAACCTTGAGAATCATTTTCTGACAAGTAACAGCTTTGCGATCTCAAGTCTCTAGAGATCCTCGATCTCGGTCGCAATCAGCTTCGAGTCCTTCCTCCCGACATCGCCAGACTTTCGTCTTTGAAAGTCCTATCCGTTCCTAAGAACCAGATTCGAGAACTCCCTCTCTGTCTTGCTGACATGGGCTCCCTCCAAGTGATCAAGTTTGAAGGAAACCCCATCAGCTTTCCACCTCGAGACGCGATACAAGTGCAAGCCCCGAGCCCACCGAACGAGGGTCTTCTAAGGGATAGCGAGGTCACAGAAGTCGCTGTGACTGCACATATCAAAAAGTTCTTGAAACAACACGCACTCAATGACCGACTCGAGGCTGAGAACACGGGAGACGAGTCGAGCGAAGGGGCCGAGACTCCCCGCTTCCCGCTAAAGAGGGTTGCCAGCGGGCGTTTCCCGATCAAGGTGAATGGCACCGATTTGTCAGACATTCGATCGCCCAACAATGGCTCGCGCCCACCGCCGATCCCCTCAAGATCACATTATCGAGGTCTTTCACAGCAAAGCACCGCTATTCGACGACCTGGCGTCATGCCCCTCACAATCGGAAACGTCAACGAGCGAGTCCGCAGTAACTCTGAGAGTTTGTTGCGAGCGGACCGGTCGGAGAGCCGTAGCAGACGCATGGGGATCGTCTCGAGAAAACCATCGGATCTGGGCACTCTTGATGAGATGCAGGTCAACAATCGCTTCAGCCATTATCGTGGCCTAAGTCATGGCTCGGCCATGCAGGGAACACCGATAGGAACCAAGAGTCCAGCGACTCCAACGGAACCTTATCTTCAGCGCCCAATCTACGTGAGACGGCTCTCCGTGTTACCCGAGCGACGCCGAGAGTCAAAGGTGTATGATCCAGTCGTTGAAGCAGCAAAGGGGATTCTATATTCGATATTCCAGATCCACCCCATGATTCAGATGTTGATGAGCCTCACAAGCGACGGATCTGCCAAGCGGTCGAGTCTTGAGATTGTCTTTTATAACACAAACTCACACGTTGAAGAGTTGGAACAGGAGATTCAGAAGCATGAAAACGCCTTGGCCGACACTGACGACCTCGCACACCGGGAAAACGAGAATGTCCACCGAGCTTGTCATACACTCGTCAGCGCGTATGGGCATGTGTGCACGCTTCTGGTCGACAACATCGATACGTTTGTCAACAATGGAGATGCGCGCTATATCCGGTCTCTCTTGATGTTGCTGTACAACAGTATCATGGAACTTCGGGTAACACTTGCGTCTCTGAGCGCTGAGGAGGGCCCTCAGCAAATCGCACCCGAGGGAGACTTGACCAGCAGCCGCACTATCAGACCGCACGTCCGAGAACCATCAATTACTCCCACAGTGGAGAGACCTACAGGAGCCCGCAACCGGAATGGCACTCTGGTGCACCATCCGATCAATCTCCGTGTTGCTACTGACGTCCCAGTGCGTCTTTCAGCAACATATGTCAACGGCAATGGACGGACTGCTACAATCACCTCGGCCACTCCGCGGTCTGGAGAGTCATTCTCTTCGATAGGCAGCCGAGGCATGTCTTCCGAGTTTACCGAGGAGGACCGACAATTCGAGAAGATCTTCCTGTCGTTGCAGAAGTCGACAGATCTTGTCATGCGGACACTGCCCAGTTTCCAAGTACAGCTTATGGGCGGCCTTAGAAACGCGATGCATCAGCGTACACCGGAGAGCATCATTCAGCACTGGAAGGGGCTGATCAGTGGGTGTGGCGTCGTCATTCAGCAGACGGAGGCGTTGAAGAAGAGGCTCTCACTCATTAAGTTGAAGGAACCTGGGGTTCGAACGCAGGCGAGCTTCTGGGGAATGTGCAGCAACTTCAGCCATTCTTGGGCAGACATGATCGAACAGATCAAGTATGGTCCTAACTCGGTACCCCTGCCACCAGACACCAGGGCCCGTCTGAGACCAATCCAGCAAAGTATCAAGGAGACAAGCAACATCATCTACCAATCTCCTTGGCACTACCTGTTCCGACCGATGGCCAACAACGGGCCCACGTCGTTCCCTGCGCACGGCATGTCGCCAACCCAGGTCCCGATTACACCGCAGAGTGCCGCCTTGGGACCTGCAATGCAGGCAACGGTTCCCACAACACCACAGAACGGATCATTCGCAGCGGCGTTCCACGGAAACGTCTTTGACCGAGCCGACGCCCTCATGGCGAATCCCGGCATCTCTATGGGTCGAAACGGAATAAGCAAGGGGCACATGGGATTCAGCTCTCTCTCTTCTATTTCGTCCATGTCATCAGATGAAGGCAGCATGCACTCTTCGCCCTCGGTCTTGGGATCGCACGGGCCCCTCGGGCCAATGCCGTTGCGGCTCAATGGGGGTAGAGTTGCCTTTTAAGTCTTGTCACCTGGCCACCTCTTGGATTTGGATATCAGAGTGAGGCTGACTTGACAGCCGAGCGCTGTCGCAGTTCTTGCATACTGAAGAGATGAGGAGAAGGAGGAGGAGACATATTTTTGATATAATTTCGTGTTTTTGAACAACTACCAAGGCGTATGGTATTACGCTGATAGTCATTCCTTTACCGCATAGCCTTGGCGTTGGGGACTCTGTTGGTTGCTTTTGTCTATATGCCAAAACAGGGCTACGGGAGGTAATTTGCATTTAATTTTCAAGGCGGGAGGAATTCACAGCTTGCGTACGGGTATAATGCTTAAACTATTCATGTTGGGGGAGCAAAATTTGGTGGGAGAGGCATGATGAACTGGCTGTGGCTGGACCAAGGACATGTCGCCCACATGCACACGAGTCGAGGGAGGCTATAGATGAGATGGAGATATGGCATTAAGCAGGGAGGAGGCTTTGCAATTGTACATTAGCCGTACAGCCAAAATAATGCTGCTGGTATTACGAATAAAGTGTTTGAGCTTATCCTTCCCTTGGACTATGTACACTCGGTGCTGTTCCAGCATTTCAAAAGCTACACATATAATTCTGTAACCGGGACACGATATCAATATGATACAGGCCATTGAGCTTGGCCGTCTCTGCTCATGGTAGGGATCCCCAGGAGGCTGGATATGTCCCATTCCATGGGGTTCTCCTAGACCACTAGTTAGCGATATGGCGGGGAACCCCTTCTCTAGGCACTTTCTCCTTACTGCTGAAAAGAATCCGGGAGGGAAAAAGTCGGTGCTCAGAGTGTCTGCAGTCGCCATGGACTCCTGGGGTGTCGCCCCCGCCGTCGTCTCGCGCAGCACCGCAACACAGTTGCGCAAGGTCTGGGCATGAGCCTCGTATACTGCTTGCTTCATCGGCTGGCCTGACTCTAGCGCCCGGATCTGCGTAAGATGGGCGTTGACGAACAAGAGTCTCTTGAGACTGGTGTTGCCTCGTGCAATGAGCTGGGTTAGTTGTTCTTGCATGCTTTCGAGAACTTGGATCAGGGGGGCTCGGCCAGCTTTGGCCATCTCGCCGAGGACATCGGCTTCGTAACTCGGTGCTGCTTCATCCTGTAGCTGAGTGATGACCTCAAGAGACAGTATCAGCATGGCATCGAAGTTCAAGGAGCACTTGAACAACCCCCGACCAACGAGTGCAAGACGCCATGTATCCTCCCACCGTTGGAGGGGTTGGTTGAGGTTGGCCCCCTTGTCGCTGGATGCGATAACCAAGGCAGCCTCGACACATATTTTGCGGGAGAGGTAGAATCTGGGATCGGCCCTAGCCTGCAGCATGAAGTCGCGATGAAGAAACATGATGAACCGTCTTAGTTGGTTATCCATCAGTTTTCGGTGGAACATATTCGGCCTGAGACCGCACGTATCCGCAAAACTACCGTCAGTGACCTTACTCGAATGAAAGAAGGCTGCCACATCACGGCACGCCTTACGCAGTTTTGTGCCTATCTCTAAAGCTTTCTCGTAGGATTGTTGGTGGCGAAAATCGTTGAGCAGGCGGATGACCTCGACTCTTAACGGAAGAGATTGTGCTAACATTATTTGTAGGCTCGAATCTGTGGGAGTGTCCATAGGTTTGGGCGTTGGCTCAGAGCCAGAGTCGAGATCAGGGTCGTCATAGTTGGATGGTGAACAGGCATCGTAGTCGATGTCGGAGAAGTTGAGCGGCAGGCCGAGGTCAAGACAGCACTGTACAGACAATTCCAAGACTGTGGTCCAGAGACGTGCACGAATCTCTCTTTGGTACAGCGACAGGCCTGGAAACAACTTGGGGTTGCGATGAAGCCCCATGGTGATGGCAGCGCGAAGAAGTGACCCCGAAGAGAGCCATGATGTTGCGCCACGGCAGTTGAATGTGGTCTGGCGAGCAAGGAGCAAGAGACAAAATACTTGAAGACCATCTAGATTGTATGTAGTCTTCTCGCTTGGTCCTGTGAGCCACCACTGTGCATTCTGTATCCACGTTTGCGCAAGCCGCCATAGATGGTTGGCCTCGGCATCATCAGAGACCTCCTTAAAAGTCGTTCCAATAGCAAGGATCAAAGACAACTTGACGAGAAAAACAGGCTGAAGGGTTGAAGCATGCTCCCCCACCCACACCTGGCTGTACTCGTTCCAAAAGGATGGTACATGGATGATTCGGTACATGGGCTCAAAGGTACGGAGATAACACCGGATGAGATCATCGCAAGTCTCCTTCACGGGGAGAGTCTCACGCAAGTCCCGGATAGGCTGCTCAAGATTGGCTGCGTTTTGTTTCTTGAGGGCGAATCGGAGATTTCGAGCCTCTTGCAAGGTCTCGATGAGATCGGCTTTGGCATCGTTGAACCATGGTTCGACTTGGACGGGGTGGAACGACCCCGATATTGGAAACTGATGGAATGTCAGCCATCAAGACTTATGAAGAGTTTTGAACATGAGTTAAAGATGGGGGAACAAACCCTCTCTGCTGTATGCAGCCAGTGTGTCTGGCCAAATAGCTTCGTCTTCTCGGGGACATGTCGAAGTCTTGGTGTGTGTGGTGGTATACAGGTAGATGATGAGGCCGGGGCCGAGACCAGAGGCTGAGAGGGTGAAGCATTGCTCAAGAGCAAGGATTCCTGATTCGTCAACGGCACGTCATCACCGGCCTCTGGTCTTGATGGTTGGCGTGGTATCTGAGCTCGGAGATAATCTCCTACCAAGGCCGGCCTTACTGCTGCTCCCCTCCGCCCAGATACTACGACCTCCTCCCCTGCTTCTGGATGCGTCTCGGTAGATGCTAGCTCCCGGCTCTTGGCAGGTACTGCAGCTGCATCCCCGGAGCTCCCGTCTCGGTATGAGCACTCCATCGAAACCCGAGCCCGGACGCAGCCATTACACGGCTGCCCCAAGTCGCACCGAATCTTGCGGCGGCGGCATTGCTCGCACGACTTCGCCGGTCGACGTCTTCGACGTTTGGGCCGAGGACTGTCTGTCGAAGAAGCTGCTGAAGACATGGATGATGTTTTGACAAGTTGAGGCCGGTCTGGAAAATGAGTCGATCGGGGATGTGAGCACCGAGATGGATATAAGTGAGTGGTTTGAAATGCCGAACTTTACCCCCGAGTTTGTTAAGACCGAGCTTTTGGCTGACTACAACTCCGTGCATACTGACAGAATAAGTCGGACAGATGTAGGCCAATATATGAGGGCACTTACATATTATTTGCGCACCAGATGAATATCACCGAGCTTCTAAACCGATGCCGAACTTCGGGCATATTTTGAGATCATGTTAATGATCAAGGAAATTGAGCAAGCAGGTATATAAAAGATATCTTCCTTCTAGAAGCCATGAATCATCATCTTCAAGACAATCCAGCACAATCACAACCATCCATTATCATATCTTTTAATCCAACTTCGCAATGTCCAACACCAGCAGCACTCTCGACGTCGCTACCCTAGAGGGTGGCCGACCTGAGAAGGAGACGGACGAGAAACCTCAACCAAGCCCTGAAGGGGGGACCAGAGGATGGCTGACAGTCGCGGGTTCTTCGGCTGCCCTGTTTGCCACGTTTGGTTGGGTCAACTGCATTGGGTTGTTCCAAGCTCAATACGAACAAGTTCAGTTGAAGGATTACTCGAGCTCTGATATTGCCTGGATCACGTCAATCGAGTGTAAGTCAGCCCCAGATGTCCATTCTCATGTGATACAACCTCCCGGATGATGACCCGCGATCCTGACCCGGTCTAGTCTTTTGCATGCTTTTCTTCTCTCCCGTCGGAGGCAAGATTTTCGACCATTACGGACCAAAGGTGCCCATCTTGATTGGCTCCGTCATGCACGTCTTTGGCCTCATGATGCTCAGCATCTCGAGCAAGTACTACCAGATCCTCCTGAGCCAATCGATCTGCTCCGGGGTGGGCTCATCTCTTGTTTTCTCCCCAGCCTTGACCGCTGTGGGTTACCCCCGTTGTCCAGACTCTCTCTCATCACCCCATTCTGATGCATCGTCAATAGGCCCAAACCTACTTCGACAAGAAGCGAGGAATAGCACTCGGACTTGTTGTAGCCGGGTCGTCGGTAGGGGGTGTCATCTTTCCCCAGATGGCACAGCATCTTATTCCACAGGTGGGATTTGGCTGGGCTATTCGCATCTGCGCCTTTCTCATCTTGGGCATGCTTCTCCTGTCCAACCTGACCATCACCTCAAACCTTGTACACTCGCCCAAGCCCTTTAGCATAATGGACTACCTGAAGCCCATCCGCGAGTTTAACTTTTGTATCTTGGCTGTATCGTCCTTCTTTCTCTATTGTAGGTGCTACTACCTAGGAAGTCTTTGGTCGATGCGGAAAATCGAGAGTCGCTAACACTGATGCAAGGGGGAATGTTTGTGCCGTTCAATTACATCGTCACAGAGGCAATCCATTACGGAATGAAGCCGTCTCTAGCCATAGGACTGGTATCAATCATGAACGGCGCCAGGTAAGCTTTTTTCTAAACTTAAGTCAGCCTCTGGTCTTAAATGGAGCTCTAACGGAGAGTCCGGGGATAGCTTCTTTGGGAGGACCGTGCCCAACTACATTGCAGACAAGCTCGGCCGGTTCAACGTCACGGTGGTCATGCTTCTTCTCTCCACCATCATGGTTCTAGGCCTGTGGCTCCCTGGGAGGAGTGACGGCGCCATCATTGCATTTGCCGTGCTGTTCGGCTTTAGCTCTGGCGCGGGAATCGGACTCGCCCCCGTGCTCATCGCGGGAGTCTCTCCCATCGAGGAGCTTGGATTCCGGGTGGGCACGGTTCTGTCACTGGCTGCCATCGGCTCCTTGACGAGTCCCCCGATCGCCGGAGCGATCGTCGCAGACGACGGAGGTAGCTACCGATTCGCAGCAGTGTTTGGCGGAGTTAATTTCTTGATCGCCACGATGGGGGTCGCATTACTCCGGGTCAAGTTGGGGGGCTGGAAGCTCACAACCAAGATCTGACCTGATGCCCCAGGAACTTGCCATGTCTTTCCGCGTGGAGACGGGAACCGTTGAGAAGGGGGCAAGGTTGAAAGGGGTACCTGAGGCTGAGAGGAGGTAAAAAGTTTAACGGGTTGACTTTACAGTAGACGGGATCCAAAAGCGTGTTTTGCATAGACTAGACCATGTAACCTGATTATTGAACGGCATGTCTGATATTGACCTGAGCCGTGTTATTGACTTTTTCTTCTCGGAACCATCTATGACGCCTGTAAGAGTGTTGTAAGCTTGCCAGTAAGCAAAAATAACTTGTCTCTTTGTGGCGAAACATTGCCAATCAAAGCTACAAGCCATCAAGTAGTATCAAGGTGACCTCGTAGCAGTCGTCCGCACAAGCACACGCACATACCTGCCGCTCGGGCTCTGAGAGTAAGCATAAGCGAGATATGCAGGCACCGGAGACTTTGTCTTGGTCAAGAGCTGAGGTTTGGGAGATTTGATATTACTTCATGGTTGAGCTGGAAATAGATTGTGAAACTGGAGGCGTTGGTCAACGAGCGTTGAGATCCTCTCTGGGAAATGGGCCACCAGAGGGAAGGTGCCACACACATTGTCAAAGAGGTCGTGCCTTACAACACGCAGAATGAGACATGAAAGCCGCGTTAGTCATCAAGGTGTATCTCTGAGATTTCAGGAGCCAAGGCCGCCAAGAAGGGGAATAGTCGATGAGAATAGAGTTGGTCTAGATGCACCAGGGGCAGATCTTATTCCTCCACCTGCATCATCTCTACCCGCAAAAAGGGTTGCATTGCATCTGTACGACACCCAATGATGCTTTAATGCTGGCACATTTTTCGATTTATTTTTGTTTCCGACATGATCAACGTGCAACCACCCCAACGCTGCATGGCTCCACGATATGTTTTGTTTCGTTTCTCCTCTTTAGTGGCTCAACCGCCCTACCTTTGATCTGGAAGACGGGAAACGAGGGGTGTAAGCGTTGCTTCTCGTGGTAATGCACCGATTGGGCGAGGATCGATGGCGGGGAACCGCTCTACCGGCTGGACGCCACACGATGGCACATTACACAACGGTGATGCTAGGCCCCGATGTGCCGCTCACCTCACTTCCCCAGAGTTCTCGGCCCCGAGGGCTACCTGAAACCCGCATTCGGACCTGAACTCTTTTCCGGATGCTCTTTGCGGTAAGAGCGGACGCTGTGACTGCCGCTCGCACGGGGGAAAGCATGGAGAATCGCCGAGTTGTCCGCGGCGAGGCTGGATCGACACGCTCTCGTCAGCAAAGAGATTGACTCTAGAACGAGTTGCGGAGCTGAAAGACGGATATTCTTTTCCTTTGCCAATCATGTTGGCCAATTCCCAAATGCCGGTACCTGAATCTTCCCGATGCAGTCGAGCAACTCTGCAGCGATGGCGTCCCGACCGCACCGTCAACGGCGAGACACAACGTCTGTTGCATATACGAACGGGTGGCTCACTCTAAACATGCGGCATATCGACTGCCGGCGAGGTTTACTTCCTTGATTGGCTCCCCTTGCTTTGGTGAAAGCCCAAGAGGTTGGTTCCCGTTGGCGTTCTACAGTACCGGCTACCTAAAGTTAATTCTCAATTTTCGCCACACTCTTCGCCTTGCCCTGAGCTGAGAGCCGTTGCAACTCCCGGGCTAGGCCTATGTTTAGCTACACTAACTGTGCCCGTTATCGAATCAAAGATGTGCCGAAGAATTGCGGAGAGACGGGCTCGCACCGTTTGATGAAGGGGCAGCGGTTCGAGCCTATGCCGTTCGGCCCGCTCGCTGACCTCCTTTCGAGAGAAGCTTGTTTTGAGGACTTGGTCCAAACCAGCCAATATGGAGGGCGGAAACGAGTCCGTGTATTCGCGGTCCTCCAAGAGTGGGCACTTCCGTTCAAGGACATGAGCTTGAACATCACATGCATGTACAGTGCAGCCGTCATCTAAACGTAACTCAATAAGCATGGATAGAGTTGTGCCTGTCCGTCGAAGCCGCTCGGATGCGGAATGAGGCTCAACGTCAGGTCAGGTCATGGGAGAGATCAAAGCTGTATGGGGTCAGCACTTGGAGCACGGATCTTTGAGACTATCTGAGATTGTCGCAAAGCCAAACAGAGGGTATAGGCGATTCATGTGGCGGTAGCCCTGGAGGCTGGTGTTGAACCGGCGGTAATCGTGGGAAGAACTCAATGGCTTGGGCCCAGTGCCAGCCACGCTGGTATGGCACGGGGAAGCTTGATGCTCGAGTCTCAAGCAAGAGACTCAAAGACGCTCTCAGACATCTGGATGGATATACCCTCATTTCATCTATAAAAGGAGACTCCTGCCCCCTCAACCAACTCCTTCTCATCCAGATCTCATCCTCATCCCACGAGCTCCTTCAGCACCCATCTCCGGATCTCTTATCTTCACACTCTCGTTTCAAACAACTCTCTTTTTATCTTCTTCTCAACACACCCCGTCTTTCAACATGAAGCTTCATCAAGTCGTCGCTGTCCTCAGCTTCATTGCTGCCGGCGCCTCCGCCACCCCTGGAGGTTATGGTGACAAGGACAAGGACGTCAAGTATGGCAACAATTACGGCAACAAGTACGGAAACAAGTACGGCAACAAGTACGGCAACAACTATGGCGACAACTATGGCGACAAGTATGGCAAGGACGGCAAGGACAAGTATGGCCATGGCAAGGACGGCTATGGCAAGGACGGCAAGGACAAGGACGGCAAGGACAAGGACGGCAAGGACAAGTATGGCCATGGCAAGGACGGCTATGGCAAGGACGGCTATGGCAAGGACGGCAAGGACGGCAAGGACAAGTACGGCCACGGAAAGGATGGCTACGGCAAGGACCACGACAAGGACGGCAAGGATGGTGACAAGTATGGTCATGGCAAGGATGGCTACGGCAAGGATGGCGACAAGTACGGTCATGGCAAGGACGGCAAGGACGGCGACAAGTATGGTCATGGCAAGGATGGCTACGGCAAGGATGGCGACAAGTACGGTCATGGCAAGGACGGCAAGGACGGCGACAAGTATGGTCATGGCAAGGATGGCTATGGCAAGGACGGCTATGGCAAGGACGGCAAGGACAAGTACGGCCACGGCAAAGACGGCTACAGCAAGGATGGCGACAAGTACGGTCACGGCAAGGACGGCTATGGCAAGGATGGCTATGGCAAGGACCACGACAAGGACGGCAACAAGTACGGCCACGGAAAAGATGGCTACGGCAAGGATGGCGACAAGTACGGTCATGGCAAGGACGGCTATGGCTACGGCCACGGCAAGGACAAGTGCAAGACCTACGAGTGGGACATTGGCCGCTGCGACTGGTGCCCCTACAAGCCCTACCACCCCCGCGATTTGGATGGCCTTGAGGCTCGTGGCGACTACGGCTACGGAAACGGCTACGGCTATGGCCACAAGACTTGCAAGAAGACCTGCCCCGACAACAAGAAGAAGTGCAAGAAGCAGTCCTGGGACTACTCCAAGCCTACCTACGCCGGCGACTTTGAGGAGTCTGTTTGGTGTGAGGGTGGTGATTCTTACAAGGTGAAGGGCAAGATCGCACCTTGCGGCGACTGGGGCAAGTACGGCAGCAAGCAGTGCCTCTTTGTCGAGTACGCCGACTGGGACAAGTGGAGCGACAAGACCGCCTATCTGGGCATCTACACCACCGAGACCGAGGGCCCCAAGTACAAGAAGGATCTCAGTCTCACCAAGGACTACTGCAAGGACAACAAGTGCGTCGTCCCTCTCGACAAGTTCCCCGGATGGCCCAAGCTCTGCGGCAAGAGCGTCTGGATCGGCATCGACGACGACCAGTGCAAGCCCAAGAAGGGTCACGGCTATGGTGGCTATGGCAAGGACGGCAAGGACAAGTACGGCCACGACGACAAGGACAAGTACGGAAAGGACAAGGATGGCAAGGACAAGTACGGCCACGACGACAAGGACAAGTACGGAAAGGACAAGGATGGCAAGGACAAGTATGGCCACGATGATGACAAGTACGGCAAGGACAAGTACGGCAAGGACACCTACGGCAAGGACAAGTATGGCAACAACAACAACTACGGCAACGGCAACAAGGACAAGCGTGGCAACGACGACAAGTATGGTAACAACAACAACTACGGCAACAACTACGGCAACAACAACTACGGTGGCAAGGACGGTAACAAGGACGGCAACAAGTATGGCAACAACAACTACGGTGACAAGGATGGCAACAAGGATGGCAACAACTACGGCAACAACTACGGCAACAACTACGGTAACAACGACGACAACAAAAACTACGGAACCGACCGATATGGTAGCTACGGCCGCAACTACGTCAAGTACATCGAGCTTGACATCACCTGCACCTACCCCAAGAAGTGCGTTGCTTGGTGCTGCTGCGCTTAAGCGACGACTTTGCCGGCCGGGCTCTTGTCTGGAGACCGAGCCGGAGGCTCTCAGGCCAATGCCATGGCAAGTTCTGGGACGCCATGATGATGATGACGAACGGGTAATACACAGCCGTGACGCTCACTGGTTTTTCGCTTCTCTTCTCTATGTAGTCCTGGGACAGCGCGCTCATTTGTCTGTCCAAAAGTTTAAACTATCGGTTTAGGGGGTTGCTTTGGGAATCTTGTGTTTGGGATCTGATAGGTAGTCAATTGACAAAATTGGGTGTGAAACAGTCTTGCCAAATGTGTGATGATGTAGTTGAACTTGAATAGCCGACATCTCTATAAGCTTAATTGATAGGGCTGATGAGAAGATGAGCTTTGAAGAGGAAACTGGGGTATGAGAGTAGACTTTGAGGTCTTTGGGATGAGTTTAGGATCGCTGATCCAGACCAATCCAAATATGGACTTATTAGCTACCTAGCCATAGTCATGCTCTTGGAGTCGTCTGTTAGTCTGCCACTTTTGTTTCCATGGATGACGTTACAATCACCTTGAAGTGAGATGAATGAATTAGGGAATGGGTTGATAAGTCCAGACCGGGGCCCATCTCTTCTATCGCACCCCTGCGGCGCTACATGGTATCACTTGGAGCAATGGCAAGTTCACATTGCAATTGCCGTGATATCTTGAGATCGAGTCCTCCCAACGCAGGGAGGATTAGATTTTTGCCGTTTTTTCTACTCTTCTTCTTTTTGTCTCTTGCTGCAATAGTATCTTCTTCTACAGTTATGGCAATCAGGGGGAATCTATGAACAGGAAACTTGTGTCTGGCGCTTCTGTAATAAGGACACTCATAGTAATGAGATGGATGAACATGACTTGTCCTCGAGGCGACTATGTGATTCCCCATGGCACAACGTGACCCCATACTGGTAGTAGAGCAACCGGATAATCAAGGTACTATCGTTATAATGCCCTCGATATACTGGTAAAGGCGAACTTTACAGCCGTATTGTCGCTCACTGATCCAATTCTAGCCTTTGTCTTACAAACAGTGGCCCTTCTATTCATCTCACTTAGAGAGGCCCAAGGAAGATCGAGGTTCATTTTTATTGTTATTTGAACTGCCAATTGCAACATCTTGATCCCTGCCGTCTTAATGTAGTAATAGCGCACGTGTCCTTTCATCCACCTTGGTACAAACGTCTTTTCACCAGTGGGCCCGTCACCACCTCATCTTGATCTCAAGTATCATCTTCACTTCCACTCCCGTAGCATCATTAATGAGTTCATTTTCCATATCAATATTCTTTATATCGACCATATTTCCAACGAAATGCTGTTGACGGTTCGGTAGACGAGACGTTTGGTGGCGGGGTGACCCCGCATCGCCAAGCTGCAGCATTAGGGCGAGGTGATGATGGCGGCGCCCACAAACAAGATTGGATCCTGGGTAGTGATGATCAGTATTCTGAACAGCTGGAGCAGTCAGTTTGTCCAATATTTGCACACGATGAGGAGTCGATAGAGGGGGACAATGATAAAGCAGGCATCCGTATGGCATCTGCAAAATTTCAACCTATTCTCTGGGATGAGGCGTCAGTCAAGGGCTTGGGTCAGAGCACCAGGGTTCAGTCAGTCAGTCAGCCAATAGAGCGCACACCAATTGTTTTCTGGTACAGCCTGTCAGTATGGAGTAGGGTCAATATTCAGACCCACAGCATGACTTTTGTTCCAAGACACATGAGCCGACTCGTGGCATTGGCTGCCAGACTCGTTGATATGTGCTTGACATGTCGAAAGATGTTGGTTGAGTAGAGAGAAGAATCCTGGTATCATCAAAATAGAAACAAGTCTGGCTCTGGCAGCGCTTCCCATGATAACACAACGCCTGTCCATAAGTACCAGTACCCATGCATAGTTACCCTCAGAGAGGCACAACAGCACATCCACAGCAGTTATTATTATTACGTAGGCGTCAGACAAACCCCACTGCACGCACGCACTGCTTTGCTTTGCTCTTGATTAACCCAGCTCCCAGGACTCGCCCCAGATCTCGTTCAGATTCAGCCCTAGCAGCTCCAGACTCGGATCCAGATTGAAAGGCTGGGTGGAGTCCCCCCCTATCATCCAAGGGGCCTGGTTTGGGTCGATCGGAGCCGAGGGCATCGCCGGCGTAAACGAGAAGGGAGTCACCGACTGGATACCAATATTAGGAAACGCCCTGCCATGGAAGTCAAGCTTCATTACCTTTGGCCGGTCGTGTAGCGGTATGTTGGGTGCCCCCATTGTTGCTGGGCCGCCTGCCACCGCGTTCATCGGTCCTGATACTTGTTCCCCGGACACTGGAGGCTCCTGGTTGGCAAGGAGTCGGTAGTGTAGGTTGACAAACCTCTCTGCTGAGGTCGATTTGGCAACCTCTGGCTCCTTGGTTCCCAGATGTGCTTCAAGGAGTCCCAGTGCCGCACACATGATCGAGTATCCCCACGGTTCATTGTTGCCACATCGAAGGAGTCGGTCCTCCTTCATCGCAATGCACTTCTCAATCAGCTTGAGAGTGTGGTGTGAGTTGATCATGATCATATTGGTCGATCCTCGAGGCTGTAGCATTGTCACGCTGCAGAGGTTGATGGCTGTCGTGAGCGCATCCTCCCGGAGGAAGTTGAGGCTGCGGACCCCTTGCTCATAGAGCTTGTCATGCAAAAGGACAATGTCCCGTGCCGCGTTGTAATAAATAATCTCCGAGTATTGATACTTGGAGTTTTGCTTGCGGAGCTTTAGATATGGTTGATGGAGTGGAATGATATACTGTCGCAGCTGCACATGCAGAAGCGTATATGCAATCAAGGGGTTTTTCTTCCCCTTGGTGTTGTCAATGTTCATGTCCCATGATGGTAGCGCATCGATCTCCTGTGTTAAATCGTTGGTGTATCGAATCACCTGGTCATAGTCGATGTCAGACAATGGGCCTGTCAACAGACGGCTGAGCTCCAGACGGAGCGGTAGACTCTGTCGAGCCAGATGCTGGAAGGAGGAGAAGGTGTACTCCTTGGTTGGCTTCCCAGGTGGGAGAACCGTGGTGCTCTCATCAAAGTCTTCGTCGTCGAGGTTGCGAGGCGCATTGGTATCGTAGTGAAGCTGGCTCACGAGCGTCGGTAGACAATGATCAAACGACGCCTGCATATCAAACTCCTGGACCGTTGCCCAGATTCTCCGACGCATCTCTTGGTGGAAGACGGTGATCTTGGCAGCCATGTGACTTGGCTCCCGATGGAGTCCAACGGCAATTCCGTCCTGGATCAAGGCGCCAGAGCCAGTCCAGAAGCGCTTCTTCTTGATGGTGTTGACCCTCTTGCCCAGATACAAGAGGCAGGCCAATTGATAGTGAATCAGGCGACGATGCTTCTGACTCTGCCTCGATGACCACTCGTCGCAGGCCTTGATCCATCGCTCTGCCCAGTGGCGGGCATTAGACATCATGCCAATGAACTTGAGGTTATCGTGAGTGTGAACACAGCTGGCCACCGCCATCATGGCGAGGATGAGGGCAGTGAAGGCAGCATATCGCTTAGTGGAGCCAGGCTCCCAGTACTCATCGTACTCTTTGCGGAACGTAGGGATGTGAACGATGCGATGGACCTGCTCAAACTGGTCAAGGTAGACATCGATGAGGGCGTCAGACTCCTCCTTGCTCGGCAGCAGAGCCTCCAACTCTGGATCCGACTGCTCAAAGATCATTTCACGATCCTCGCGTCTTCTTTTGCGGTCCTTTCGGTCATGGAGGATGACTGGACGAAGCCATTCATCTGCCGTCTCCTTCATGAAAGGACAGAGGCCTGTCAACTCGACAAAGGCCATACTGGCATTATGGGGACCAAAGTAACGGGTGCGGAAGCCTCTGCCACGGAAGAAGCGAAGCTCCCCCTTATCGGCAGACATGTTGGTGGCCTCGATGGATTCGTGTACTTCGCGAACGGAAGGGTCTGGCTCCCCAGGATGGGCGTCATCCTTTTGGGTCTGGGGCGAGGTGGTTGTGGCAGCGACGGTGCTGCCATCGAAGGAGACGCCAGTGCGGGATATCTGGTTCTTGAGCTGGGCAATCTCAAGCTCGAGGCGTCGGATCCGATCGTGATCCTGGCGGACGAACTCTGGGTCCCGCGGGGACAGGCCGGTAGTTGGATCGACGAAACGGCGTGAGTCGAGCTGGGCAAAGGGCGGGGGTACGCCCGAGGAGGCATTGACTACCTCTCCATTGCGAGACTCGTAGCTACAACGGTCGGGCGTGCCGCTCTTGATGCAACGCTCGCACGGGAAGCCCCGGTCGCACGAGAGCTTGCGACGACGACACTCGAGACAGCTCAGTCGGACTCGCTGCCGCTTCCGGGCGGGCGGCTGGCCGGAGCCGTTGCTGGACCCAGGCTTTCGGTCACCGTCCGAGTCCGGGGTCTCACTTCGGTCTGAGGAAGTCATGGTTCGATCGAGCCCGGAGCCGATGGGGATGGGTTAGAGGCCTCTCAAGATTGCCCAATGCCGGGCGTTGCTGGGACCTTGCGGTTCGGAGTTACGAAGGAGGAGGAATCGCTCGCTGGGCCGACCCGGGGGCATCAGCAAGTCAAAAGGGATTTCTTTATCAATCTGATCTGATAACTTGCGTAGAAAAGTTTTGCTGCCCCATTTGAGGTTGTCAACGCCGAGCGGAGATACGATAGAGGGGGATCCAAGGGTTGGCCATCTGTGGGTTGAAGCTGTGGGGGTGTGATGACTCAGCAGACCGTTAGTGCAAGGGGATACTTTGGGTTGTCAGTTGTCGCACTTCAAAGTTTCCCGCCCAAGATTCTGAGACAGGGCCGTGATTGGCAATGAGCAACAGGCAACCAGAGCACAGTCATTCATGAATTTTCTGCGAATTAATACTACAAAGTTGGCTCTCCAATCGTGAATTTCTTCTTCATGATATTCATCATCAAGCGAAGCGCCAGCTCGGACCTCCGATGGATCGCCGACCGGGACCAC